CAGACCGGCTAATCTTATTCCCTAAGGACCTTATGTCGCAGCCCAGCACGAGTGTTCGGTTGGTTCGTTCGTTCGTTCGTTATTCGGTTCAGTTCGGTTCTCGTTCATTGATTGACTACGAACACGACAATGACCAATCAGCTGATCGAACGATCGGTATTCTTGGTAAACAAGTTTTTGTGGTTGGTACGTTCAAGGCATCACGTGACGAGGGGTATGCGTAAGATGACGACGAAGAGTTGGCGGAGACTGAAACGGAGGCAGAGACGGCGGCGTAAATGTTAGCGTTGGTTCACAGCTGACGGATGGCCATGGCTGGAACTAGAGGTCGAAGAACAGGGTGATGGTGATGATTGCTTTGCAGCAAGCTGTTGTGTTATTTTCTTTACGTGATGTGGATGTGATGGTTGTGTCGGTGTGTTACTTACTCTCTTTGCTGTTTTCCTCGTACGTTTCTTGACGATTAAACGTAAAGCGTGAAACGTTATAAAGTGATGGCTGTGTGGCAGCGTTCGAGACGACGAAGGCCACCGATCTTTGATCCATCGTGTCGTATGTTCATTCTTGTGTGTCTGTATCGATTACCGATGTTTGTGTAGTAGTTGGACGGCGACGAAGATGTAGACAGCTCGACACTGACGAGGTTGAGGCAGCGGACGTTGTGCCGTTGCTGCTGCTGCTGCTGCTGCGGCTGGTGGTGGTGTCGGTGTCTTTATTCGGTGGCCGGTCGGCTGGCGACGGTGGTGAATATATACTCACCGACATTACGAGCAGCTCTGAATGGCAGTGTGGTTAGCTGGTTGTCAGTGCTTGAGTACAACGGCTGATTTCACTGCCCACAGAGATGCGACGATCGACGTGTCGGCCAGCCAGACGTGTGCTTGCTTCTCTTGTGTACTTTTCGGTTTTCGTGCCTTACAATGAAAATTATTGTTCGTGTGATATTTAGTGAATATTTACTGCGTACGAGGTACAATGTTTGATAATTTTTTCGATAAGATTTGCGACCTTTATTGTTTCTCGCTGTGCTTTTTTTCGTCATGATCTTTCCAGATTTGCAATCTAAACGTCCCCGAGTTTAATTGTCGAACGGCGTGCCTTGTGTTTCTTCTTTCTGAGGTTGATAAATGAGTGCTGCTTTATGGAAACGAAACAGGAGACTACACACTACCTGTTGTCGATTCCTCTTAAAAATTCAGCTATTCGTGTCTGATGGCATGGAGATACGTGTATCAAGAGAGAGGATGACAGGCGTGGATCTATCATAAAAATGTAGGAAACAATTACATTCCGACAGCTACAAACTTTCTTTTTTTCTTCCTTTGCCACATTTCGTGCATCCGCTCGTGATTGAGGATCGACGAAGTATAACTTGTGAGTCACAGCATGAGCAGTGTCGTTTCAGGAACTTGTTAACTCTTTCGCCGATAACGTATAATAAAAGATTTTTCCACTGTATGTGTTGGAGTTACGAATTAACCTTTTTGCTGTAGTGCTTTATGCATGAGCCATCAACACTGTTTGTTTCGTGGCGCCCAGCCGCTTTTTACTGTGTATAAAGGGGGTTTCATCTGTCACCACAGTTAGATTCGGGCCAGCAACGTTTTCTGCAATTATTTAACGCGTATAATTTTGCAGTAGTCCGTCTTGATCTATTCCCATTTCTGCTTCAAATATTTTTGGACATTAATTATATATAAATCGAAGCTAATGGTTTTTCATACAAACTGACAAGCTGACGGTCGTCTTTTTTATAAGTGGTTATTATTGCAATTATCGATAGCGGTTACAATAATCATTACCGTTTGTCTGTCTGTTTGTCATCAGAACCATGAAAGCGATAGTTTTTTGAAATATACCACAAAATTAAGATGAGTTTCGGTAGTTATTTAATTCTTAGTCCACTAGCATGTAAATTTTTCAGTGTATTATCCGCGCTGTGGTTACCTGTAACATTTCCCCGCGATATTTTTTCCCAATCATTGCCTTTCTGTCGTGGTCGTTTACACAGAGCACGGTGATACAGTAGTTAGGATGTCCGCTTCGAACTGCGGACGTACCAAGTTGCAGTCACTGTCGAGACAGCGAATTCTATTGAGCAGGGAACCTGCCTGACTTTCTGTTAGTGCAGCTAGTCGAGAAAGACGCGATTTGTTGACTTTGAAGACAAGTTGTTGTTCTACGAATAAAATCGACGGCATAGTATCCTAATGTAGTCATTCCAGAATGGTCAAGACGTACATCCGTGCTGGCCCATTCTGACGCGTTTTGTGGCTGCTGCCTTCATCTTGACCGACCCGATTGCTGACTATGCAGTATAAGGTGTTACGTAAATTATTTATATATCATGCATTTAATGTTATTAGATAAAAAAAATTAAAACGAATTGCATTCCCTTCATCATAAAACGCGCAGAGTCTATCGTAATATAGGCGATACGTGTTCACCTCTGCTTATATCAATCGACTGATGTTCAGGATCGATTATAATAAGATTTTTAGAACCTATTTTCATTTTTGTGTTTACGATAACCGAAAAGTACCTGTTCTTTATATTTATGTCGTACTTGCTTTTGTGAGCGTGTGTGTGTAAGATTGTCGAAGATTTTCATGCCATTCCAGCGACCGATTTCGACTGTTTCGTTATTTACCACTGATCGGAGCTGTTTCAGGGCT